CTAGCTGCTTGTTGACAAGAGATGAGAGAGACCACTTCTTACCTCCCCTACGAGGGTTAAAGAGGCATCTCGCAGGGAATGACAAAAGTCTAACCCATGATGACCGGGAGTTGTCTCTTACTACAGCCTCCAGGAGAGAACAGAACTTACTGCTGGCCAGATGGCGTGAGTTCCGAGGGATTCTTTTAATAATGGAAATCTTAGGGCGAATCTCCTCTGCCAGTGTAGGATTGTCCGCCAACACCAAGCTACCCGCACCACGTGGTGTGCCGTCAGAGGACAAAGATGATAGGCTATCGGACGGTGAGGTAGTTAGAGATGAATGGGATCCAGAGCACCGGTTGGACACTGGTCCATGAGCCCGAATCACCCCAGCAGAAGTTACACAGAAAAAACGATGGCAGATCTGACATTCTGCCTTGTCATCCGCCATTTTATTAATTATTATTATTATTATTATCATTTTTATTACCAGTTTTTTATTACATATTATTTTTCTTGATTATAGTAACCAATACTTGTATTAAAACAAGATGAAGATTTTATTGGCACTAGAGATTATAATGGAAACAAACAGTCACATAGTTAATCACTATAATGCTACTCATTAACACAGGTGAGTGGTAACTGTATCTTACATTGCATTTAGTGTGTTTTACATGTCTAGGTATAGTAGGGCAAAGGGATCTTTAACTATTGACCATACACGCTGTGGGTGGTGGTTATTAGATGAAATGAGGAGTCTCTTGGCCATACACGCTGTTGGTGGTGGTCATTAGATGAAATGTGGAGTCTCTTGGCCATACATGCTGTGGGTGGTGGTCACTAATTTGATTTGGATATGTGAATTTTGGAGACTCATTTGCACATAGGACAAGACAGGAAAATCTCTCGCAATCAAAGCCTGAAAGCAATTGGAAGATGATTTATCACTGTGACTGTGCTCTAGTGCCATTACAATATTTTTAGCCTTTTAAAGGTACATTTTATAATGTATAATATTTACTTAATTTTAAAATTCACTGTAGGCTCCACGGGTGGTTGGGTGCAGGGGGCTAGCTAAGCAGTGAGACATTCGCAAAGGTGCTGGCTATCATCACATGTATGATGTTACTGTGGTGCAACATCACTGCAGCAACTGAAATTAATGATCATTATCCTCATTTTTTTATATTTTGTTCTTTTATAATGTAAAAACATAATTGGTGAATTGCTCAATGAGTTTTTTGTTAATAGAACATCAGTAATACAACAGCGGTATTATAAAGTTAACTTAGTTGTTAACTCCAGCATTGCCTTGAATATCAGTACTATACATTGCTCGTGTCCTGATCCTTTCCACTTCTTCAATTCTGACTCTTCTCTTAATCAATTCCTCTTCCTCCTGTCTTTTTATTTTATCTTTTTTTATTTGTTTGCTTTCAATAGTCTCTAGGTCACTCATTTTTCTTTTTAGCTCTGCCTTTTCCTCTTCTAAATGAATGCAATACCTCTCTCTGTTATCATACTTTCTCTTCAATTTCTGCACTGCATCATTCTTTCTTTTAACATCTCTGCACAGTCTTGCTATTTCTTTCGTTTTCACTGACAATGAAAGTGAGAATTGCGAATTAAAGGCTGGGGCTGAATGAAGTATTATCTTACTATCATGTTGGATATTTAATTCTTTTGACATAGCAGGTGTCTTGCTATCTGTAGATGTCTTGTTAGTAGCAGGAAGCGTCTTGCTATCTGTAGACGTCTTGTTAGTAGCAGGAGGTGTCTTGCTATCTGTAGATGTCTTGTAAGTAGCAGGGGGTGTCTTGCTATCTGTAGATGTCTGAGACATATTTGTCCCCATTTTCTCTCCTGAGTCTTATCTTAGTCTTCTTAGATTTCGTTTCTTCCGAGGTTTCTTTTCACTATAGATTAGGGCAAGCACACATTAGAATTTAGCACGTGTGAGGTGTTAATGGCTGTTAGTGATAGAGAGTGACAGTAGTTGTCACGAAGTCCAGTGAATCCAGTCAATTCTAAGTGATTATTACTCTTCTCTTTATAATCTTTTCGGTATTTCCTGATATATTAAGGATAGAAGGCTCATCAAAGGAGGATAAGGCTGTTTCCAGTAACACAGTAAGCTGGGGCTTGCTGTTTCAGAGCTAAAAGATACATGCTCCAATGTTGTCGTTCATGGTGTCATCACCAAACTGTCCCCAAATGAAACAGAGCTCTTCGACAAAAAGGAAGTACTTTCATGGCTTGGTAACTGATGATCAGGGGTCTAAAACATGTCTCCGTCAGTACTGCTCTTTTTGAGAAGATGAAGAAGGCCCAGCAGGATGCCAATGCAGTAGGAGTGTTTAACTGTGACGTGAAAAGGTCAGCATTAAGTACAGATGAATTAGAGATTGTTCTAAACCACAAGTCTGATATTGTTTCATCATCTAAAAAATTTAAAGTGGATTCTACTTCTCAGAGTAATGTATCACTTTCACAACTACCAGTTTTAGCAATCAATCAACTTGTGTCAACATGCTTCAAAGTAACTAAGGTTCAAGGACCTGTGCAAGTTACTTTTAAAACTAAATTATTGACAAAACAAGTTTGTACCATTAGTGATGCAACTGGAATCGCCCTTATGGTTTTGTGGGAAAGTGAAGTATGTACACTCAAAGAAGGAATCTCCTATGATCTTGGTGATATTCGAGTGAAACAGTTTAATGACATTAAGTATTTCTCCGCAACTATTAATACTACAATCTCAGCAACAGATGACATCGAAGAAGTTGTGTCTGAATCACTACCACCAAATCCTTGTTAAGTAAATATCATGGAGGGCGAAGTAGCTTCTGTGATATGTGAGGAATATTATATAGGCGGTAGCCTATATGTAGGATTGAGGTTAGTTTTTCAAGATGGCGGCCGTTATTATGATTTTCAAACACTTATAACTCTACAGTCTTATAAATGGCTTAGATGGGCTCTCCTTCACTGAGCAATTCTCCTAGTACCTTTAAAGTGAACTGTAATGTAGTGGGAGCAATTCTGGAGAATAGGCCCAAATTCAAATTTTTGCAAAATTCTTCAGACTTTTTCTTCTTTCATCTTCTTCTATGCACCCGTTAATCTTTTAAGCCAGAGAAGCGCTCAAGTTGGCTTTTACATCATTCCTCTAGGCTTGGGTCAAGGACCACAAAGGTAGTTTCAAAAAGAAGCAAGGACAGAGAAGAAATGGCAGACAAAATCCAGCTGCAGACACCGCGTGGGTTTGTGGTTTGACGCCATTTTAATTTATGTGCACATGATCAGCATGAATATAATTAACCTAACCACAGAATCATAACAGAATGTAATTTATTAATTTAAGAAAAAGAATGGAAACAAGTAAAGAAAAAACATTAAAAATGGAAAAGTAGTAGGAGTGAAAT